CCTACAAGGCACGCCTCTTGCGACCCCATGTGGGTCCATCCGACAATATATATATATTTATATGTATATTTGTAAAGGTGTCTTGGAAAATTTCACACTTCAAAACGTTCCCTTTCAACTTCCTCGTAAATGTTTACAATGCTTTTTTGGGAAAAACATAATGTTTTAGCAGACTGTTTCAAAGATCAGTGGTCTGTAGGGTTTTTGGACCGTAGATGGTTTTAACAAAAACTGAAAAGAGCTGTTAAGAATAAGTAGACGTGAAAGGCAAGAACCGTGGAGTCCCTAACACACTTCGTTGACAGTGCAGACTTGGCGTCTTGGTGGGCACGTGAGATGTGATAGGGTCGAAGATGGTTGGTCTGATAATAGCAGGTAAAGGTTTATAAGAATCCGTAGAAGTCGAAAGTCAATGGGTTGGTACGCCCTTCGAGTTAAATAGTAGGAAATAGACACTTGGGAGAGTAGTGTGAAGTGTGATCGGATCACATTGTTTTGGTTAAGGACTATAACTTTCGAGAGCTAGTGAGTGCCACAACATCAGTTCTTCGTTCTCCATCGCAGCGTAACGTTGCTACGCATGTGTCTAATATAGGTGTGACGAAATTGCAGATAATGTTACAGAGAGTGATAGCAGCTGGTAAAGGCTGAGTGTGTTAAATATCAGAAGGTTCCCAGCTTCCGAGCTCTTTGCTATCCACGATGTAGCCTTAACATTTTAACATGTTTGATACGAGATGGTATAGTAGTTTCACAATAAGCGCAATGATAAGAAAAAATCAAGGTCATTATAAAATGAAGGGAACGAAGACTGTTGGTTCCCTGCTATCGGATTGAGACTTCTAATGCTATGGCTGCGCCTCGAATACTGCGTTCCTCGATAAAATAAGCAAATAAATGGGAGAGGTGGTGTAGTGGCAAGTGACACACTATCTCACACCTGATCATCTCACGTGTTCGATCTCCGCCTCGATATCCGCCTGAACCAACCAAGCCTTCTCCTCCCTCCGGGGTGTGTTCACATCACAGGTCTGACAAGGGAAGTCAAAGTGGCCATTTGGAATTTGACCTCTGATTTCAAATCTGCATTCAAAATCCGCTAAACGACTCTCTGAACGAAGCTATGGAGGTGGTCTCCGGGGAACGCTCAACAGGGTAAAGCACAAAAGCCGTGGTCGCCGGCAGCCCACAGTGGCGGCTCGAAGTGGAGGTTAGCGTGACGCTTCATAGGCATGGGACAAAGGATCGAGTTTGGTGGGCGACGGTGTTTATGCATCTTGCAGGACTTTTTTTTCAAGTTAGAAAAATCTTTTTATGTTGTTTCACCGCCTTCAGCGACTTTTTAGTTGCTGGATGCGAGTGAGTTCCTACTTTATCCGTCTGACATCTAATCCAACCACCAACATTACAAAAATTCTATTCTTATTGTAGTACATTCCAAATCCACTGTAGGATAACTTTTACCTATTATAAGCGGATTCGACAATCTAGCACGAAGTGTTTAAAGGCACTGTTAACAAAAAAGTAAGGGTACCCTTTTTTGACGGTAATAGGTAGAACTACTTCAGAATAAAGCGATAA